AAAACAAAATTCTGCCCTCATGACCGTTTGTAATACTGATTGCTTTCATCAGGAGAGAATAGAACACATACATATGCAACCTTAACTCTAGAAGATTAAGTTCCCTGACATCTATAGAAAGCACCTCAGCCTTAGGTAAATAACCTTCAGGTCTTGTTCTTTTTCAAGAATAGTGTGCTCTACTTACTTGGAGTCAGATTATAGACGACTAACAAACAGAAAGGTCATTGTGTATCAAAAAGTCATGAATGTAAGGGTCAGCAAGATAGCTTGGGGGTAAAGGTATGAGCTGTCAAGCTTGGACACCTGACTTTGGTCCCTAGAACAAGCATGGTGGAAGGAGAAAATTAACTCTTGCAAGTTATCATTTGACCTCCATATTCATGCATTGCATGCATTGGCCCTGTGCACACCAACAGGAATACACACACACACACACACACACACACACACACACACACACACACACACCTGATAAATAATGTAAAATCCTTAAATAGAAACAAACATCACCCTTCACTCTCAAGGAACAAATGGGCCACGGATGTTAGATTGCATTTTCTGACATTTAATTCTTCCTCTTATTTTTCCATAGGACTAAAGAGTTAAATCCACCTTGGGCCCATGATCTCTTAAGTTTAAATTGAACTTCTTGGTCATTCCAGTCATGTACACACACACACACACACACACACACACACACACACACACACACACACCTTGATAACTTTATCTCTAAATTCTAGATATCACTTGAAGGAAAGTGGTACCATTCTGAGATTTGCAGTTTTCTTTTAAAGAGACCAAAATCCTGTAGGCCATCTACCTAGGTCACAAGTTCCAGCTGAGATTACTAACACCTCAAGCCCTTGAGCATCAGGCATAAGCTCAACCAATAGTGATAACATGGGATTATGGTGATGTGAGGAGAAAGAGCTAGAAAGGGAGGAAACCCTGCCACCAAGAGCTGATAAGCTTTCACTGCTGAAGAAGTCAAGACAAGAGACTCCATGGAAGACGGCCTAAGGGTCCACCAACACAGTACTTGTTTCCTAAAAGATGTTCTATGAAAGGCAACAAGTATACTGATGTCACATGATAGTGCATCCCCACAGATACCTCCACCAAGGATATCAAGGACAATAATTAGGCTGGACTTACTTAAGGCAAAGATGATACATGAGCTTATATATGAACTACTTTGATTTTAACCTTGTTACAATTATGTCCCTTGGGCAGTCTTTGAGAGGGAGTATGCAGCTTTCTTAGAAACCTTTAAGGATTTAACTTGAAAGCCACAAAGATCTCACACATACCAATTGTAAAAAAAATATCTAGGGTGGTGGTAGCCCATTCAAGCTCTTAGGAGGCAGGAGCCTTGGAATCTCTGTGAGTTCAAGGCCAGTCTGGTCTACAGAGCAACTTCCAGAACAGTCAGGGCTACACAGAGAAACCCTGTCTTTAAAAAAAATGTATTCTATCCTACCCTACCCTACCCTACCCTACCCTACCCTACCCTACCCTACCCTACTCTATCCTATTCTATTCTATATTTTTCAGGTGGACTGGGGATGGGTGGAGATGGAAACAGGAGGGATCAGGTAGGGGAGGGAGGGACAGAGGAAGAGAATATGGGGAGAGACGAGTGGAATTAGGGAGAATGGGGGGGCTATCACAGTGGAAACTCCCTCCAACCTATGAGGGTGAACCTAGTGAGGACTCCTAGTAATGGAGGGTTTAGAGTCTGAACTGGCCATCTTCTGTAACCAGGCAAGGCTTCCAGTGGTAGGACTGGAACACCAACCTAACCACAAAACCTTCAGTCTACCATTTGTCCTGCCTGCAAGATGTGCTGGGGAAATGATGGCTCAGAGCTTATGGGAGTGGCCAACCAATGAATGGTCTAACTTGAGGCTCATGCTACCTACCAAATGAAGCCCATGCCTGACATTGCCTGGATAGCCAGGAACCAGAAGTTGGATGGCCCAGAGACCTAGGATAGAACCAAACACAACTAACCAAAACAATGTAAGTTTTATATGTGTGTATATGTATGTATGTGTGTGTGTGTGTGTGTGTGTGTGTGTGTGTGTGTATATATATATATATATATACATATATATATATATATATCAATTAAATGATTTCTAATGGAACTCTGCTACACTCATAGATCAGTGCCTAGCCCAATCACCATCAGAGAGGCTTCCTCCAGCAACTGATGAGAGCAGATGCAGACAGCTACAGTCAAACCTCAGACAGAGCCCAGGGAACCCCATGGAAGAGGGAGAAAAAAGATTGTAGGAGCAGAGGGGTCAAGTGCACCAGGAGAAAATGGCCCACAGAATCAACTAAGCAGGGCTCACAGGGGCTCACAGAGATGGAAGCGACCATCACAGAGGCTTTCATGGGTCTGAGAATAGAGTCTCTGCATATACATTGTGGCTTTTTGGCTTGGGGTTTTTAAGGGATTCCTAACAGTGGGAGTGGGGGCTGTCTCTGACTCTTTTGCCTGCTCTTGGGGCCCTTTTCCTCCTGATGGGTGGCCTCCTCTAGCCTTGATATGAAGATTTGTGCCTGATATTATTGCATCTTTTAATATGCTGTGTTTACCCGATATCCCTGGAAGACCTGATCTTTTCTAAAGGGAGATTGAGGAGCACTGAATCTGGAGGAGAGGGGAGGTAGGAGGGGCACTGGGAGGGATGGAGGGAGGGGAGGCTGTGGTCAGGATGTATTGTATGATGAGAGAAGAACAAAGAATAAAGAAGTTTAAAAAAGAAAAAAGAAAAACCAAAAAAGAAAGAAAGAAAAAAATTCAGCCTATTTTGCCCAGGAGTAGTGGTGCACACCTTTAATTTCAGCATTCAGAAGCAGAGGCCGGTGGATCTTTGTGAGTTTGAGGCCAGCCTGGTATATAGAACAAGTTCCAGGACAGCCAAAGCTAGATAGAGAAACCTTGTTTGCGGAGGGATCTAATTATGACTCTTCTAAGTACACATAATTTGTTATCGTTCATAAGG